CATCAATTATACATATATACATACATGCATAAGTGTGTCAATATTTATGTATTGATGTGAATTTGGCAATGATTGGTAAAAAAAATATAAAAAAAATCAACAACAATATACGTCTAACCATTGAGTCCTGAAACAAATGTGAAAAATGTGGTCTCATAATTGGTTACTTCTTCACTGTTTGTATTATTTGTCTGATATCTTTATTTATGTAAAAAATAATAAAATTATGTGAAAATGTCACTGCTTAATGTAGTAGTTAAATATTTAGGCGTGTCAGGTGCCTTGCTATTAGGAAATCAATTCGCTTGATAGTACATATGGGCCATTCCATACAAAATTTACACCTCCATTTTTCTTTTGGTGCGAAATATATTTTTGACGTAGAACACGTCTTACGTTTCGATATGGAGGCTATGCTGAAATGTTGTAGTTGTAATTTTTAGAGCTTCACGAAAACGCTTATTGCATAAGAACTAATGAAGCGATTTCATAGAAGAGTGTGGCGTTTCAAAGATAAAATTCCAAACCTAACGACAGATTCATTTTTGTAAGTAACCAATTCGGTGTCTGTCGTAAAAAGAACGGTAAACATTGGCTTCAATTTTGGCGTCAATTTTGGGCTCCAACAGCTTATGATTTGCAGATATAACCTTCATTTTCGGGATATAGATTTTTTGGAGTAATAGAAATATTATCGTGTACAGATTTTATATAAATTCAACAAATATTGATTTTGTTATCGATATTATAAATTTTGACAACGATATTTTCATCGCTTTTTTATCGATTTTGCAATCGATATTATTATCGATTTTGTTATCGATATTTTTTTCTTAGTGTGTGCTTTCGGTCTTGACTTGGATATGCTCTTAACCATATTTACCACGTATTCTACGTTTCACACAAAGACGAAGGCGCTGGACTGTTCCTTTTTACGGTCGTTATCGAAAAAAAGAAAACTCCTATAAAAAAAATGCCGAAATTTTGAACTCACAGAGACGTGTTTTTTCAATTTTTTTGCAGTTAATAAACTATTTGTCGTAGAAAATCAGTTAATTAATCAAAATGTACGGAATTGCCTCGGCTTGACATTGTAGTGTGAGATAGATTTAAATAAATAATTTTTTGCATTAAAAAATTGCATTTTTTTGGCTAATAATACACCGTTGATTTTTGTTTCTTTTTTTGCATTCTAAATAGTTTTCAAACTCTATGGAGTGCACTGTAAAAGTTTGAGAACGGAAAACCAAAACTCTTGAAGTTACGAGTTTTTCATGCCTGCGTAGCACTGGCAGTTCATGCCTACGCGCTGTTAAGTAATAAAAAAAAATATTAATAAATGTAATTTTCTAATGCACAAAATTATTTACTTAAATCTATCTCTCACTAAACAGGAAAACCGAGATACTTACGCGCATTTTGATCACTTAACTGATTTTCTCCGACAAATAGTTTATTAACTGCAAAAAATTTAAAAGATACTTCTTTGTGAGTTCAAAATGTTGGAAATTGTCTTTTCGAGATTGTCGAATATCATGATGAAATAAAAAAATAAGCGTCTTCTTTTTTCGATAAAGAACGCAATAAAAATATTTCACACAAAAAAAACCTTGAGGTGTAAATTGTATATGGAACGACCCATATGTAAGTATGTTGATGAACTAAATGAGCCAACGCAACTTGGTTGGTTGGTGTTCAAAAACAGATAAAAGAAAAACAACGAGTATTGTAATTTTTAGGTGTTCTAAATAAAGTTCCAGGCAAAATTTTGTCCATTTTACGGCAAAATTTTCTTTACAAAATATTAGGGGGCCTTAACATTAAGTGAACTTTCAGAGAAATCATATCGCACATTTGCTGCAAGAGAAAAAGATTTTCTCTTTTTCTATGTTGTGTAGAAATTGCATAGCTGCATCTGTTAACCATAGCTCATTAGAAGAAAACTTGTCTTCATTTTTATTATGGGACTGTAAACTTTATAGACATTTTTCGCGAGTTTAAAATTTTTTTTTAATTTAGGGCACTCTTGCAGCAAATGTACAATATAAAAAACTAATCTCTTGAAGAAAAAAATCAAGTTATGGCATAGCTTGGATATAAAACCAGTTATTTTATCAAAAGTTTGGTATTATTTTTAAGAGGAAATTCAATGTATTGTCTATATGTAAATATACTAGTGTATGCTAATGCAAGCTATATTCATACGTAAATATTTTTGTAAATACTTATATAAACTCAATTTTCCATTTGAGTGTTCGTATAATTTTAACTGTAAAAATAAATTTACTATTTTATATGTTTTTATGTGTATGTACATATTTATTAATGTACACTAGGGCGGAGTAATTAATTTTCGAAGAAGGTTTATGCATATGTATTCGAATTCTACTTTCGATTAAAAGAAAAAAGGGTGAACAAAGGCCCCCCCCCCCCCCCCCCAATTTTTACAAGAAAAATCAGTTTATTACAATTTTTACTGAACGAAATTAATTTTTCATTTATAAAATTTTGTGTCTTCTTCATACAATATACTGTTTTTTTATTTTGAAATCTGAAAGGGTCAACCGTCATTTTTGGTGTATGGTTTGTACGCCATTTTCGCTTAAAATTAATCGCAGAATTTTAATTTGCTATACAGTTTTTCGAAAATTATGCTCCGATAAAATTACTCCGCCCTAATGTGCACCCAGTACTTCTCTAGAAATAGTTAGATGCTGGATATACATAATAGTAAGAATAGACATATCTACAAATTTTTTCAATTCAATTTCGTTTTGAATTTCTTATCGCTTAAACGTCACTTTTTCACTAGGCATTAAAATGGCAAAAAAGTGTATCATTTAAAAAAGTCAAGTGTCACATTGTTTGTATGTATAGTATATCAGTGTTTTTCAAAATTTTACTTACAAATACAAAGTACAAAAGTATTTGGGTTTTCATTAGGGTCCGACCGAGCGTTCGGGTTCGGTTGGCGAACAGTTCGGCCATGAAGTTCGGGTGCGGATTCGATTCGGCTTCGGCCAAAATTGGCCGTGTTATTTGACCAAAAAGTAGTAAAGAAATTTTTTACAAATTAAAAAAATTTAAACTTTTTTCATTTGAGTGCCTCTGTAGCGTTTCTGCGACTTCATTTTATTGCTTTTTTTATAGCAACTTTCTTATTTCTTGGCGTTGTTTTCATTTTATTTCCTGCCCGAAGTTTTAATGCCCGGGTTTTTGTACTTTCCACTATATAACTATCCAGTAACTTGCCAGTAGCCAAACTTCTGAGAGTAAGCGAACAATTGCTCCTAATGAGAGAACATGCAAGAAAGTACGAAAGCGCAAAAGCAGCAAGAAATTGCAAGTTTTACTAACAGCTGATAAATTTATTATTTTCCGAAGCAACTTTCTAAGAAAAAAAAATATTATTTCCTATCTTGTTATATACTTAAATAGATCTATTTTATCAATCGCTTCAGAAACTTGCAGGTTCAGCTGTCATTTTCGCTCTCTCTCTTTTGCTGGTTTCTTGCAAGCTCTTGCGCACAAAAACGCCATCCAGTAAAAAACGGGGCTAACTTATTTCAAAATTACTTTGTATAAGAGCGTATTAGACGTGGCAATATTTCTAACTTTTCCACGTAATTCGATGTAAAATTGAGAATGAGAATTTTTTTTCCACGTGTTAACAGCCAGACAGAGAACTTTCTGTGACATTTCGGAAATCGGTTTCAGAAATAAAAGTTGAAAAATGTGACTGCAATTGAAAGAGCGAAAATCGATCTGGTAAATATATTTCAACTTGATCGTGCTGCACTAGCGATTCTCATTTCTGCTACAAGTGTCAAACTAATCGAGTGTTGCCGTGTGAAACTAATCGCTGGTGTGTGCGAAATAATAAGGGATAATATAAAAAAAAAAAAAAGTGAAATGCTTTTAATTAATTATTTTGCGGAATTTAATTGTTTAGTTATAAATAATAAATTCATCTTGAAGCAAAGTTAATTACAAATAAGGGAAATAACAAACAACAGGCAAAGCGGCTCACGGTTGCACTTTAGTACATAGTATATCTACTGTACATACATGCATACATTTATATATATTTATTAAAATTTTATAATTTTCCAATATGTTTTAGTATAAAATACATTACGCTCGGAAAATACTCATTTGCATTTACATACATATACATATGTATGTATTGTATTTTTAAACGCCAGTTGTATGTAAATTATTGAATGCATATTTATATGCCTGTAAATTTCTGTAAATAAGTTATTGCATATTTAATGTATACAAAGTGACCATTATCCTGTTTGTGTATTGCATGTCATATATGATGCTTGATTGTATTTAGTTGTATGTACATAAATAGTTATTCAAATTTTAAAGAAAAATATATACGAAAGTATTGCTATAAAATTGCATGGCATGAAAAGTTTCGTTGAAAGTTACACTGTTGTGCATTTGAATGCAACATTTAAATTATTTATTTATATATGCTTTGTTATTTTATGTTTTTTTTTACAGTTACTTAATTCTTTTCTTTTTAACAACCACCACGATTTTCATTAAATAACATCCCACAAATACATTATTCCATAAATCGACAATTATTTTGTATAAAAAAAAAAAAATACAAATTTACTTCACATCCTGCATTCCTTTTGGTATCTTTAAGAAAAAGAACTAAACAAATCCCTTAATTTTTTCTCATCACACAAAGCGTGTGTTGAGTGAAAGTTGCATAAATGCGATCGGTCTGATGTTGAATCACAGCCTACCCCCATGCTTTCTGTGTTCACTACATTGTCATACGCTTCATTACCACACGTACTTAAATATGTTCCGAGTGTCTGGTATCACTATGTATTACACAGTTACTATTATTCAAACCATGTAACTATATGTATGTATAAGTTTTAGCATTTATTTGTACTAACTTTCTATTTTATTTCGTTTCGTTCGTTCGTTCGTTTTGTTCGTCTCCTTCTTCTACTCTTCACGTGTTGAAGGTACACGAAGCTGATGCCTGTTTGGTACTGGCCAATAAATATTGCCAAGATCCCGATGCCGAAGATGCTGCCAATATTATGCGAGTCATCTCAATTAAAAACTACAGCGAAGACATACGAGTGATTATACAACTTATGCAATATCATAATAAGGTAAGTGCATATGTACATATTAGGGATGTTGCGGATGTAGAATTTTAGGCATCCGCGGATGCGAATGCGGATGTCAAGTATTAAAAAAAAAAACAATTAGAATCTAGCATAATGGCGAGATCATTGTTTAAACAGCGCTTACAAGCCAAACCAGATACATATGTCAAGTTGTTTCAGAATTTGGAGAACCTGTAACTTTATCAGCACTTTTCGATTTTAGTTTTTGTAATTCATTTTTGATACTTTCTTCTGCGACTGCTTTGAAAAATTTGTGCTTATAGCGAGCAAAATAGATGGATATGGAAAATAAAAAATTTCAAAGTCGTGGCTGCCAGCAGAATCGGATCAGAATATTGTTATTTTTTTTAAGCACCCCGTTTTTTATAAGCATTTGAATAACAGATAGTTGCGTAATTCTTATCTAAATAAAGGTTGGACCTATAGCTTTTTAATTATTTGAGCAACGATTCTCTTTATAGCTAGATGTTGATCACTTCTACTGCACCCAAAAAAAAACTTCTCTTAATTGAAGAAAAACAGCAATCAAAATGAAGAAAAATGGGTACGAAACAGCACTAAAGAATTTGTATCCTCTTTTCATGCCCAACATTTCCTCAAAATAATAGATTACATCCACGGTTCCATATTTTC